CTTCACTATTTGGTGAACGATATCCTGGTTTCAAAGGCCGAAAATGAAAATTTCTCTAAAATCCTGAAAGAGTCAGACACAAGTTTGGAAAAAGTCCGTCGCTTATCTGTTCATAATGATTGCAGSAGAATATCTTTCATGGGGGACTCCTCTCCATGTGTTCGAGCTTTTTTCAGGTTTCCAATGGATGAATCATCTTCGTCCTTCTTTAACCATAAAGTGATTTCAAACTTCAGGCTCTTGAAGGTTTTGGATTTGGAGAATGCACCTCTGAAGACTTTTCCTAAAGGAGTTGATAATCTGCTTCTGTTGAGATATCTAAGTTCAAGGAACACAAAGATCAAGGATCTACCCAAGTCGGTTTGGTAAGCTTGTAAACCTTGAAACATTGGATCTTAAGCAAACATATATCACCGAATTGTCTTCTGAGATTCTCCAGCTTCATCGACTACGCCATCTTCTGATTTATCGGTACGACTTTCTAAACTATGCGGCTTTCGGTTGTGTTAGAGGTTTTAGTGTGCATGGGAGAATTGGTGGCTTAACTACTTTGCAAAAGCTGGCTTTTGTAAAAGCAAGCATGGAAACCCGAATAATTGATGACCTGCAAAATTTAACCCAATTAAGGAAATTGGGGATTGTTGAAGTTAGAAGGGAAAGTGGGGAATATTTGTGTCTCTCTATTGAAAAAATGCAGAGCCTTCATACATTAAGCATAACATCAGAAAGCATGGAGGAATATCTAGATCTAAACACACTGTCTCATCCCCCTCGCCATCTTCAACGTTTATATCTAAAGGGGCAGCTTGAAAGGATGCCCAGATGGATTTCAGAACTTCAAAACCTGGTCAGGATACGTCTGAAGTGGTCAAAACTAAGTGATGATCCCACTGAAGCCCTTCAAGATTTGCCTACCCTATTGGATCTTCAATTGCTTGATGCCTACACTGGATCTGAGTTGCTCTTCTCTGAAGGGAAATTTAAGAAACTTAAGATATTGGAATTTAATCAACTGCGTAACTTGAGAAAGGTGATGATGGACAATGGCACATTACCCCAGCTTCAGAAACTAATTATAAGATCATGCCCATTGTTAACAGCAGTGCCTATAGGAATTGACAACCTTACCCAGCTAGAGGAGCTTTACTTGCATGATATGACTGAAACATTCATAAATGGGATTCAAAAGAATGGAGGTAAATATCGTCGGATGGTCAATCACATCCCAATCATTCATTCTTACTCTCTTGGTTCTTTCACAAATCTTTCATGATTCTCCTTGCAGTGCCACTATATATATACATCTTTGCAGAAGTACTGGTGAGCATTTTACACACTTTCTTTTTGTTTATGATCTGATTATTTTCATTATTTTTCTCCCTATTAGGTTTTTCTTTGACGCAGCGTGGAAGCAATGGAAACCGGAGCTGGCTATGCAAGCACCGGGCGTCCGCTAGCACCTAGCGAATAACACCGATTTCTCTAGGAGAGAGAAAAGGTGGCGAAAATAGGAAGAAGAGAACATGAAGAAATTTTGAAAATCTGAAGTATGAATTGATTTCATTAACTGGAAAATAACAATATTTATAATACATCTGGAAATTGAAATTGTAAAAGAACTGGAAATTATAAAAGAACTGGAAAAGAACAACTAGGATAGATCAACATCTAATCTA